TTATATTTTCTCGAGTCGAGAACTATGTCCCATTTTTGTTGAGATTGCTATGATTCTCGATAGTTTTTCGAGTCGATCTCAAACGTTTGAGATTGGAGAATGTGGCTAGTTCTCTAATCGATAACTAACCTCAATGTTTGCTGGAATATAACATAAAACAATAAAAACAAATGTTTGCAGCTTTTAGGTGTAATTCACAATAGAATAACGATGCGACTTAAGATTGTGTCCGATTTCACCCATAAATTTGTAGATAGCTCTTAAACTGATAATTTGATTGCAAAACATTGTATAGCAAGTTCATAGGGATTTCGAAGGCCTTTAATCTGGTGGAGAGCTTTTTGCGGTGGGATAATCAGAACCGGAGGAGAAGCTCGGCCAATCTATTATTATTATTATTTATCAGAACCGGATATTTTTGAAAAAAATTTAAAATGCTGTTTTCTCAATTTGAAAAACGATAATTTCGCGAATTCTTAAAACTTTTTCAGATTTTTTTATTTTTCTCGTAAGTTATCTCACATAGCAAATGACTATAAAATTCCCGGTTTTCAACTTTTTCCCTGGATGCATATGGTTTTTTAAATTTTCAAATACAATGTGGAAGTACTTAGAGTTATCATTTTCGAACAAAATTTTGCACAGTATATATACTATACATATGTATGTTTCGTTTGCATTTGAACAATTTATATTTGTACGTTACTATCTTTATTAAGAAAATACTTAATAAATTAAAATACTTCTAAAATAAACAAATGACTTGTGTACAAAGAAAACAGAGAACGTGGCGGTGGAGGTTTTCGTGGCGGCCGCGGCGGTCGCGGCGGTGGTGGGCGTGGCGGCCGGGGAAATCGTAATGGTTTTGGTGACCGTAATGATGGAGACAGAAATGGAGATGATGACAATGGTTTCAATAACAACAAAGGCGAAAACGAGGGCGAGCAGAAACAGCGTGAGTTTTACATACCTCCGGAACCCACTGATAATGAAGACGAGATCTTTAGTAGTGGAATCTCATCGGGAATAAATTTCTCCAAATATGACAATATACCAGTCCGGGTAATGGCTTATCTTCATTTAAATGTTTATATTAGAATTTCACATTGTGTTTTTTAATAGGTGTCAGGCGAAAATGCTCCGCTACCACTTAAATCTTTTGATAATGCCGGCTTGCGCGATTTGATCATGGATAACGTGCGTAAGTCCGGATATAAGGTACCTACACCTATACAAAAAACTGCTATACCAGTGATTATGGATGGGAGAGATTTGATGGCATGCGCTCAAACGGGATCAGGGAAAACAGTGAGTATAATGGATTACATTCACCTATACAACCCAAATATGTATAAAATATTCAACAGGCTGCATTCTTGCTCCCTATAATCAATGGAATTCTGGGAGAGAGTTGTGATTTGTCAATCGGTAAACCGCAGGCGGTGATTGTTTCTCCTACTCGCGAGTTGGCAATACAAATTTTCTCTGAGGCCCGAAAGTTTGCGCTGGGTTCCTATTTGAAGATAAGCATTGTTTACGGTGGCACTTCAAGCAAACATCAAGGCGAAAATATCGCAAAAGGCTGTCACATTTTGATATGCACTCCGGGTCGTTTACTGGACTTCGTCGAAAAGGGTTTCATAACATTTGAGGAGACGCGTTACGTAGTGCTCGATGAAGCCGATCGAATGATGGATATGGGTTTCAAGGAAAATGTAAATACATTGATGCATCATCCGACAATGCGCCCTATGGACGAACGCCAAAACTTGATGTTCTCTGCTACTTTCCCCGAGGAGATACAGCGCCTGGCTGGCGAATATTTGTCCAATTATATTTTTATTACTATTGGTGTGGTTGGTGGCGCCTGCTCCGATGTTACCCAAGAGATTTTTGAAGTTAAAAAGTTCCAGAAACGGTCTAAACTGATGGTAATTTTCTTTTTGCTTTAAATAAGTCATTTTAATTTGAAAGGAACCTATTTTTCGATAGGAGTTGCTGGGCGAAAGCAGTGACGGGACAATTGTATTTGTTGAAACCAAGCGTGGTGCAGATTTTCTGGCATCTCTACTATCGGAAACTGAGTTCCCAACTACTTCTATCCATGGCGATCGCCTGCAGCGTCAACGAGAAATGGCTTTAGCAGATTTCAAATCCGGAAAAATGAAAGTGCTGATAGCAACTTCAGTCGCTGCTCGTGGCTTAGGTATGTAATCAATTCGCCACATTCTATGTAAATATACCATTCAAATTATATTTGCATTTCATTTTGCAGATATTAAGAACGTTAAACACGTTATCAATTACGATCTTCCTAATTCCATCGATGAATATGTCCATCGTATTGGTCGTACGGGCCGCGTTGGTAACAATGGACGCGCAACTAGTTTCTTCGATCCCGAACAAGATTCGGCCATGGCCAGTGATTTGGTTAAAATTCTTGAAGGTGCATCGCAGGAAGTGCCCGAATTTCTCCGATCATGTTCCGGTGGAGGTGGCGGTGGTGGGTATGGCAATTCGCAAAGTAGATTCGGCGGTCGAGACGTACGAAAAGGTGTTCAGGTAAGAAATTATAGGGCGTGACCCAATTACATGGTTCAAAATAATTTGGTCGTATTTTATCTCAAAAGCGGGGTTTCATCTTATAGATTTTTTGATGGTGATTTGAAGTGCATTTACAAGATTTTTCTTGAAAAAAAAAAAAAACTGTTGAAGTGTCGAAAAATGGTAAAAAATGGCAAATTTAAAAAAAAAAAAATAGAATTTGTACGTAGTTTTTCCGAAGAAAAAACCACGTATTAATGAAAATCCAATTCGTCTGAAAGATTCTATCTCAAGCCGATGGATTGCGTAGAAAGGGGTGAAAAATTAAAAAAAAGTGTTAAAAAAACAATAGCGAAGAACATGGCGAACGACTCCACCAGGACATAGCCACTATGGAGAAGTGGTATGATAGGAAATCAACCTTCCACATGCTTGCTGACTATTGCTGGACCCTGAAAAGCGATCCATAAAAAAAAAAAACACCCCTATTATGAGTTGCATTCGATCTTCGACTGCGGTCTAAAGTGCTGTCGAACGAATTTTCATTTGGTATTATGGTGCTTATTCGATGAAGAATAGCGCTATTGTAAATTTCGCTCATTTAGGCTGTTCACAATAGCACATTTTTCACCGCTGAGAAGCTTTGTTTACAAATCGAGCAAACTAAATAGTGTGCTTATACATATTATGTACATACAGATGCGTGCAACTAATTAGCAACGAAATTCAAAACGATATTGCTTGCAAATTATGTTTATTTTAGTAGTTTAGTTTCAAGTCGCTAAACATTACCGTTGATTTTTTAGAATTTTTTTTGTGGAGGGTGTTGCGCATTTTCTTCCATATAACACATGATCAAAATTTTGTTTACATGTTTAGTTCGTATGCACCATTTATCTCTGTGTACGATGAGACCTCATGGAAAATAACAATTACCGGCTTGGCCTCTTTTTTGGCGGGCAGACATGCATACAATTCTGATATTTTTTGATAATTTTTAATATTTTTCAGAATATAAATTTTTTGAACGTTAGCGTGTCAAATGAAAGCTTTTGGGTCTTTCTGATTGGTCGGAGCAGAAGCTTTCTGATACAACTCTGCGCTGAACTGGTTTCCAAACGAGTTGAATGAATTAAATGGTTCAAGACTTTGGAAATGACTTTGCCACCTTGCACTCCAAATTCTTCGCCTAGCGCTCACTCCCAGCAAACACAGTCTCTAACGTTAGAGAAATTTGGATTTCTACAT